CATGACACTAATATGATTGATCTGGGCCAGATTCGCTGGGGCATGTGCTTTTTGCAAAGCAATGAGATATCACTTCAAGAATTAAGAAACACTTAAGCATTATACGAATAATGGCGGATTTGACACGAAAACGAGCTCTTATTGAGCAAGATTTTGAAAACATGCTAGTATTACGAAATCTGGCCTAAATTACGGAAAAAGTACCCATTCGTGCTTGGAAGAAAGTTAGGATTTGCTTATTTACAATCTTCAAGAATATCTACAGCTTTATCCTCATAACAGAGGCGAAGAATATTGTATTTGGAAATCATGCCTATAGGGCCTATGTTGTGATTACAGGGCAAACATTTGATTATTTTGTAGGGTCGTTTTTCCAGATTGCAATTGTCAAGTCGCTCGGCTAACAAGGAAACGATACTCAATGTCCGTGACCTTTTGAGACGAGATGCACACCGTTACACTCGTCTTCGAACGCTGATTCTGAATCTGACTTCCGTTTTTGCTAATCGTTTCTCTGAAAGAAGTTATAGCGAATTTTGAGCCAAGTTTGGCCGCCCAAAGGAATTGTGGTCATTGGAACGGCCTCTACTGCGGCCACGTTCTGGTCTAGTAAATAGTGCGATAGCCTCATAAGTCAACGCAGGTGTAGGTTCAAATCCTTTTGTGTTTTTACCTTTGCACTGCCTTACTTGTTCAAGAAAATTTACTCGACTTATAATCACTGGATACATTTCAGCGCAAACACCAATCATTCAATCCAAATTCTTTTTGGAAGAGTAAGGGCGTTCACTCAGCTTGAGGATACGAAAGAAGGTTAACTGAGGCAAGGCAAAACTGAAAAGTACAAATGGACTCGAACCTACACCTGCATCGATTCATGAGGCTATCGCACTAACCACTAGACCACAGCGTAACGCTGTCGCTCGCGCTCCGACCATATATCACTAGGCAGCCAAACTCCGCGCGATCCATTGTAACATCTTTGAAGCGATTAGCAGAAACGGAAGTCAGATTCGGAATCAGCGTTCGAAGACGAGTGTAATGGTATACATCTCATCTCAAAAAGCCACGGACACCCAGTATCGTTCCCTTGTAAGAAGCCGCACTGGATATAACCACATTTACTTCTCTGGAAGCTACGCAAGCAGTGCGTCAGTTCGTAGCAAACGATAAAGTTTCATTTTGGGGCAGATGTGATTACAGGCAATCATCAGAGACGCTCACATTTTCTAGTAAAACTACTGTAGTGCATACTCGAACATTCATATGGTCAAATGCTAGGTTATGTATCTTCAAAAGGTTCAGAAATTTCCAGTGTTTGAAGAGGTTTGACTAATTTAACGAATTTTGGCTATGCTTGCGAAGAGTGGAACTGCGTTTATGCTCTACTACTGCAATGGGTTATTGAGCAGACCGCACCAATTGACTCATGTTTTATGAGAGCGACTGGAGAATGTGTTTGAGAAACTAGTTTTTGTAACGACAGTGTCACCATAGCTTTTTTTAAAATCAAACTGAACATCTAATGTCGAAAATTGTAGTTGACGGTACAAATATTGTCTCAAGAATTAGCTCATGATACAGAAAACAATGACGTTTATTATTGGCTCGTACTCGCTAATCTAGTCAGAAAAAGATCTTTTCGCAAGGATTAGAATTTGATACTGAGCTACAAAGGATGCACCGATGAAATGGCAGCACAGAGGCAATTACAGTATTCGTAACAACACTAAGAAAAACTTCAGCAGCAAAGTGCTAAACACATTATCTTCATTTCAAGTGAATGTTTGTGGCAACTAGGAATACAAGTTATCGGTATCAAGTCCTTGAAATCAGTGAACGTTGGCTTACAAGGCAATCTAGGCATTTTATTCCGAAAGTCGTAGCCATTCGCCATAGAAAACTTACACATAAATCGCCACAATTTCTCTTTCCTTAAATAAATCGAAAAAATTAGAACCACCATAAAGCTCTTACATTAATACTCTTCATTCGCAATCTATTTTTCATCAAAGAGGCAAAGGTGTGACCACCAAAACTTCACTTCGCTCAGTGAGTTGCCAATCATTACACTAAGAGATTTGAAACCAGAGGCATTTACACGAAAAGTTATTCTTGTATCCACCTTTCCTAGAAAACAAATTCATTAGAGAATCACAATATTGTGTTCTATTCAACCTCTTTGTTTATTGCGCTAACTCGTGCGACTCTTCCGCATATAAATGTGACGCTCTTAAAGGCAGCACTCAGGCACCTGTGTCACCTACCCTGGGCGAACAAGTCTTCTCGGCTAGAGTACTTTTCGAAAAGCATCGCAATGCAGCAGATACAAGCCGTCTGCAGCTAGCTGGCCTTGCAGAAAACTGTCTTGCCTTATATGCAAAATACATCACATACTTTTTGATCGAGAAAAGTGCTGTGAGCTGTATCACTGCGTTGGAAAGGAAGTTTATAAAGAAACGTTGCTTTTTTGCACGGTATTATAGCAGCAGCAATAGTACCAGTACCGTATTCACGCTCTGCAAGATATAGCATTAGCAATGGTACCATAGTCATCACGCAATGCATTCATATCACATCATATCATTATATTCAGCCAATTAATCTTACAGTAAAACGGAGAAAGGAAGACGCATGCGGTGTTGGTTCATTGTGAAACATCCAGAGGGAAGAGAAGTCTTCCTAAATGGATATACCGGTTTGTGTTTGAAAGAGGTTTTTGAGCCATACATTGACTGAGCAACTATCAGAATGAAATTTCTCATAGTCAACTAACCCCACACGCTTTTTACTTTTTCTATTGTATTAAAGAATAACAAATACTTCAGCAGAAATAGTAGTTAGAGAGACTAGCTACTTTCTGATGTTCTCCTCCACTTCACTATCAGATGTTAGGAACAGCAACATTTACTAATCCAGTCAGGGAAAGATCGTTCTCGCAAGAAGACATAGTGACACAGTAGTAGTAAAACGTAGTGCTTACTCAGACAGTCGACGGCATACCTCCGGAGCAGAAATGGCAGAGCCGCGGGGTTTGCCACTTGTGCTTCGGAGTCCTGCCATTTTGTGCTTCGGAGACCTCACATTTGCGCTCGGGAGACCTCCCCATTTTGTGCTCCGGAAACCTCCCATTTTGTCCTCCGGAGCTACGGCACCGATTGTTTGAGTAAGATCTCAGACAAGTGCCGTAGTCGGCGCCGGACAGTCGAAATCTGGGAGAGCCGCGGCGGACCCAATTGACCATTGAGAGCGGGGCGAGGGGGCGGTCCCTTCTTGTAGGTCAAGGTGACGTCACGAGCAGGCGAATGGGATCCTTCTCCGGATCTGCTTTGGAGGTACGCCATCTCTGCTCTGGAGGTACGCCACATTTGAGAGAGCCGCGGCGGAGAGATTTGCCCGCCGCGAGTGCGCCAGATTTGGGACTCTCCGGCAGAAAATGGCAGGGCTCCGGAGCACAAAAATGGGAGGGCTCCGGAGCATAAATGGGAGGGCTCCGGAGTATAAATGGGAGGGCCCCGGAGCAGAAAATGGGAGGTCTCCGGAGCACAAATGGGAGGGCTTCGGAGCACGAGCGGCATTCCCCAGCTGGGGAAACCCGCGGCTCGGCCGTTTCTGCTCCGGAGGTATGCCGTCGACTGTCTGAGATAGCACACTTGGTGCGCTACCAGACAGTTGGAGCGGGCAGCGCGCGCGCAGTCACACGGTGGCGCAACACCCAGTGCGCAGGTGGCAGGACATTGGATGCCGCGCCGCTGGTGCTGGCCCGCGGATGGCTGCACTTTTTCAGTTTTTCTGCGCTATATACCACAGGTCTTGATAATGAATTCCACTCTTGATACGCCAAAAAATATGGATTCGTATTTGGATCCAAGAATTCAGATCCATTTGCAATGCTAAGGCCCACGAAGGCTAACGCTTGGAAGCAAAAAACAACTTTCACTTCTGCGACTAATCATACGCTACGGTGTAATATCTAACCTCCTGTATGATGAGGCAGCCTGACCATCGCGTCTACACTGCGCGGGTATCCCTTATGCTTACAGCATGTGATAATTGCAGGCGCGCGGGCCGCAAGGGTAGAGTATAAGGCTCCCGCCAGAGTGCCGAAGTTATGCCAGCGCTACGCCAGCATTTCGATCGATACACGTGTATTTCGTTGGGGCGGGGCTAGCTGACGTCCCCAACGAAATACACGTGTATCGATCGAAATGCTGGCGTAGCGCTGGCATAACTTCGGCACTCTGGCGCGAGCCTAAAGGCACGCGCGCGAATGGCGAGATCGAACATAAACGTAGCGCGCGGGTCGCAGTGTTGGCCATTAATACGCGCGCCGCAGCACCATAAACGATGGCATCGTTTATGGTGCATCTAGGATGGCACACGTTTGGCGTAGTGCCGGACACGCCCACTAATAAAACACGCGCTTTGCCGCATTGACCATAAACGCGCGTGCGCCGCACGCTCCAACTATCTGAGTACCTTGTACTGTGCAAGAGCACACTTTTAATAGTACATCATGGCTGCCTGACAACATCGACACAACGAATTTTTGGTTTTTCTCTCAAACATAACCTTAAAAAGGTTACTCTACTGCAACTTTCTGCGAACTCATTGCGTTCTCCAAGGCACTGTCGTCATGACCCAGAAATAGCAAAAGGATTAACCGTTGGATGGGTACCAACGGTACCCCTCACAGTTTCGCTTGTTGAGTTCTACTTCGCCCTAACAAGGAGTCTCTCAATTGACAAAATGAATATTAATATTTATGATGTTTGCTTCAACACAAGAAATTACATGACATGTCGAAAGCAAATTTGAAGAAGGTCTGCATTGATATATTAAAGCAAACTGAATTCTCGACCTCATGTGTAATTTGAGTGAACACTTTCTACGTCCTAAAACCCTGTAAACCAAGCACAATTTCAAACAAGGTGAGCTCTTTATTTTTCCGCAAATCAGAGCAAAATCAATTAACAACTCTCTTTCGCTAGGTGAAAGTGTTTGCAGATAAGCCTAGGAGCGCTAGCAATTGTAAAAACATTACTCTGTTTGAAAAAATAGAATAAGAGAAGTGACGCAAGATGGCGTTCTACTGATACCAGAAGGTACGCAGCCGAAGACGTCCGTTTCCTGTATCTTCACAGATGTAAGTCTTTTTTCCAAGTGTTGCATTGGTACCAGTGGGAATCTGTAACACATTATAATACATAGTAGACGTCACCCGTCTAGTCACCCCGGTGCTATGTGTGTTACTGCACACTAATTTCAAGCGGATAAGGCGCTGAGGTCTCGCCGTACCGTACTTACATTAAGTGCACAGTACGGCTATTTGACGCCAAATTGCCCGTTTTCCGCGACTTATGAAGGTGGCAAATCATCGAAAATTAGACCGTACGTGAAGCTAAGAACAAAAAAAGCAATAATAACGAAAACAGGCAATTTGGCGACAAATTTTGGTCGTACTATGCACTTGGTGTAAGCACGGCACGATGCGACCCTTGCACCTCATTCGGGATTTCAAATTTGTGTGCAGTGACAGACATTGCGCCGGAGTGACTAGACGGATAACGCCTACTATACCTGTTCACTTACTCAAAAGTTAAGTCAGTCCTCACGAGACAAAGCTTTGGCTGCATGTAAAGGAACAATAAGAAATTTAGAAAGACGATGTGATTCGTTACGCTCAAATATGTAAGTAAAAAATCTTACATAAGAGTGATCAAAATGAGAAGGTCTGTCCATACGCTCATTCTATTCTGTTATTTCAGATGTTGTACCACTTTTCTGTACTTCTATTTGGAATGTTGAGTTTGAAGAAAAAAACCATTTTGCTGAACATCGTTTGGGACTATACTTTAGTTCTTCATACTGGTTTCCGTTTGCGTAGACCTTTATTCATTCTCTGATTCCGTACTTTCAGAGGATAGCAAAGCAAATGTGGAAGTTCTCCCTATCCTATCCTTCTCCTATTGCCAACAAGAGGCCAAAAGTCAAATTTTTTCAAAACATATGCAATATTTGCCGAACTCAAAAAAAAATCATATGTACAGGGTGTCCCAAAAGTCCTTAAGCCTAACTTTTCAACGTAGTAACTTTGTTAGTATTCCTCGCTTTTCAGCCAAATTTTGCCTTTGAGTTCTTCGTCTAGTTGCCAATATTCTTCAAGAAAATCATACCGTTTGCATTGTACATTCTCGAGATATACTTCTTGAAGCAAACAATGCTACAATCGTGAAGACGAGCCGGAGGAAACGTATCTCCTATTCAAATATTTACAGCTCTTTTGCCTTTGGAGCTCTTGTGGACTTTTAAACTGCATATTGTAGAGCTAGGTTCACTCTACATTTACAGTGCAAAACCAGTCAATAGTCTTCGTTCATTAGAGTAGGATTAGGATACAAACACTGAAGTTGTGCCGTGCCAATGAGAAAAAAAAGTTCCCGGAAACAAAAACCTGGAAAAGCTGGAAAGTCGAGCACCGAATCAGCTTCAGTCACTAATTCTAGCTGTAAGGCTTGCATTTCCTACTGAAATACCATTTTAAAGTCACTCTCGGTACACCATAATGGTGTTTTTCTTGGTGTTCTCAAACACTTGAATGCTACATTTTGACACTTTTGTCAAATCTCACAGATATGCTTCTCAGATTTACGTGCCTTCAATAGCCGGGTCAAGAGGCCCTTGACTTTTCTTTGTGATCAGTAATGGAAAACAAGGTTTGCTCTATTCTATGCTAAATTTTGGACAGTCTGGATTGCTTGCTTCAGAAGGTGTGAGACAGTCTCGATGTCAACTACCTGTCTGCCATAGTGCATGCATTCCGCAAGCTTCTGAGAGCCTGTGTAAAGGCCAAAGGAGGGTTTTTCGAAATCTGAGTATATCATGTTATTTTGTAGGCTCTTCGCAAATTCCCTGCTGAATTTCATGCGTCTATGTTGCTTCATGCATTTTCAGCGGAGGAAATACTAGGCTCAAAGACTTTTGGGACACCCTGTACAATACGGTTTTCTACATAGTGGAAATCAGCCTTTCTTAATTGTCAGCCGAGAACAAATTTAAAATCTGCAAAAAACTGCATTTTCTGCCATCTCAACAAAAGCGTGGGTCCTGCGTCCTCTCGAATTTCTCTCCAGAGAATCTTTATAAGAAGTTTGGTGAACTTCAAGATTGGAATACTGCTCATCGATTACTGACAACACAAGGAGTAGTGTTTGAGCAATTTCATAGCTTCCAAACCAAGCTATGGTTTCTCAAAGTAGAGTAGAGTAGTCCCTACAAAGGATGCTTGGCGACTTTGCTTAGAAAATTTTTTCGTTGTTTCTGCCTTAAATTTCAAGGTTACATAGGATTGCCAAGAATTTTGCAGAATGTACAGGTTTCATACATAACGAAAGGATTTCAAGCATCTCTTTGCGTCTGTGACGCAACTTTCGTTTGCATTACGTAAGTACTACATAAGAGTCACAGTTTTCAAATTAACATTGCCTGATTCTCAGCAAGAATGAGGTGATTTTTGTTAGACTACATAGCGTTTAATTCGTTACAATTTCACAAAAACTCGTGGCAAGACCTGTCTTTTCAAAAAAAGTCATCTTTCTGTAAAGCAAGCCCCAAAATACGTAACTGCTTTTTTTTCTGAAAGTCAAATTCCCGTAAAAACCGCCTCTAAGTTTTCATAGACTCAAGGGTCAGGTTTGAGTACTTACGATTAGAGCCTGGCAGGAGTTCTCAAATGCCAAGAAGGGAATAGTTTTTGGAATAAAGTAGCTGGAAACGTACTCGGTGTGACTAAGCCCGAAATTTTGTGTACAAATTGAAGGGAACCAATGGGACCAATGACGAGAATACTGACAAAGTGCGTGAGTAAGTATAAACACAACAATATTTCTCTGGAAATTGATGAAAGTCCTCTCCTTTTTGCCAGGGGCACGGAATGGCATCGAAAATTACGATTTCGAAAAGGAATGCGCCTTTTAGCTGGACATTGAACCGTTTTATGACTGAAATTGGTCATATTGACATGCAAAAATACAAACCTGTTTATTGTTCACCATACAACCCAAAACTGTTGTCCTCCAGCCACCCCACTTCCCAACCTTTAGGCATTGTATCAGAAAACTACCTTCAACCTTAAGCAACTATGATCATGAACAGAAAGGTGAGAGTTTTTCATTACCCATTTTTCATTTTCACTACGATCTCTACCATTGACTTTGCAAAGGCAATACCCAGTGGCAAGTAAAGCAAGTACAGTGAAGAGAACCCGCATTTGAAAAAACTGCTAATTCTCTAAAATTGTAAGTTGATATAATATAATTTTGATACAAGGCTTATAAGCATATAAGGCACCACATAAAATGATTGAAGACTTCTTTTTGACTTTAGGTGAAAAGAAATATCAGACGTGGCGACTACTTGAACAACACTAAATGAAACCACAGTGCCATTCGTTCAAAATGTAATGGAGAAGGAATGCTTGATGCGTGTTAGCGCTATCTAAACTCAACAAAATGCCATTAGACTCTTGCAGGCTTTTATAAACTCAATAAAATGCCATTAGACTCTCGTTGGCTTTTACGATAAAATGCACAGTATTATTGTGTAGGAATTAGATAAATTGTACAGATAAAGAGACGCTTATTGACTGTGGAAAGTGCTATATTTTATCTCTCAAAAACTGAGAGCCGGAAATCAGGCCCACATAACTATAGCACGCCTTCTTGGTTACTTTTGTTGCAAGTCTATCTGTGTCTGCATTGTCATGTCTCCAGATGCACGCTCCATCTTTTACTATATAACAGGGTGTCCCCAAAAAATGTGCCTACTGTTCGATTTCTAATAACTCTGTTGCAATGCTTTCGAGAAGCTTTAGGTACCGTTTTGTAGAGCTGGCTTCAATTTCAATTCATAGTATAAAGTTTATCGATCGATCTACATTTCACTATAGTTACGGTAGAAAATTCAAGCATGTGGTACCACTGTAAAAAAAGCTGCAGTCTCAAAATTTTTCAAAAAATGTGAAAACTTGTGCGAATGTGTTTTCATAGACGCTGAGTTCAGTACTCAACTATGTACAAAATTGCGAACCTTTTAATGGTGTAACCGCACTTCTAAGAAATATTGTAAAAACTGCCGCTACTGCTTACCTCACATAACTTTTTGCTGAAGCATTAGAATAAGTTGCGAACTTCACTTTTAGAATTAGCAACTCTAATTGGCCCAGTGTGAGAGTTTTCAGTTTTTTTTTGTTTTGCCTTTTTGAAGCAAAACATGACTTTTCATAGCTCGGAACCCTCTTCAAAGTTTACCGTAATCCCACAGTAACAAAGAGAAGTGGATAATCCGCCTTATACCGTGAATCTAAGTCGAAGCCAGCACTACAAAATGCATAAAGCTTTTCGGAAGTCTCCAATACAAGAGAGTTATCAACAATGAAACAGTAAGCACACTTTTTTTGGGACACTCTGTACAAAGAACAGAGGGTTTGTTACTGAGTCGCATTTTTAGCGTCTTTTCTAATTCGCAAAGCCTTCCATTGACAAATATTGCAAAGATACACGATTCTTAAGAAGGTCGACCAATAGCTAGATACCACTCTTCAAAAGGGCTCATTGCTTACTAAGAAATAGCACTAGTCGGATTGTTCATTTGTATCGAGTACTTTCGCACTATCTGGACATGTTTCATAAAGAATTTTGTCTCATTTTTGCAAAGGCAGACTAGCAAAAAATCAGTGATTGCAATTGCCACGTGGTTGTGAAAGATTGCGCTTATTTAAGCTATTTGAGTTATTTTTTTGAGCTTTCCTAGTTAGCATGTTGAGGCTTCTCCGAACTACAAATATCAGTCTGTACCATATACAGGGTGTCCCAAAAAGATGTGCACACTCTTTGATCGTTAATTGTTCTCCTGCTTTCAAGCTGTGTGAAGCGATTGATCGATCGCTCTTCATCACTGTACGATTACGGTAGGAACTTCGAGGAGGATCTTAAGCCATTGAAAGTGTATTTTGCCGGTATTTTGCCTCAGAAAGAAAGCCAAACAAGCCAGAAACTCATGAGATGGGCTAGTCGAAGTCGCTGACTCTACATATGAAATTTGCACTTCAGTATAGTGCTTCTTTCATAAGTTATTTCGAATTTAGGGTAAAACTGTTTTTCCAATGTTCGTCAGGAATGTGAATACGCCATCAAGAAAGCTAAACTCATGAAAAGACGTAGTGAATTCAGCACGCCTGAAAACCTCGCCACACAAATTTTTAGATTTTCTCAAAACTATTTCATCGAAATTCCTATTCCACAGTGATGCTGTAGGCTGAAAGTTCATACCGTAATCCTACAATAATGAAGAATAATTGGTGATTAGCTCCATACTGTTAGTCTAAGTTGAACCTCGACAGAATGGTACCTCAAGCTCGGCAAAAGATATGAAAGAAAGAGGATTGTTAACGATCAAACAGTGTGCACATCTTTTTGGGACACTCCGTATAAGTTCCGTCCGTTTCACTCTCAACCAAAATAACTCATGCACTTAATGCTACTAAATAGCCCTTCAGAGTACCACTCTGGAGAGCGAAGCATCCTGTGTAATAGCTTGACAGATAAGCTATATCACATATTTAGCCAAGGTTGAACCAAAACAAGCCTTTTGTTTTTGGACAATTTCATAAGCTTCTTACTTTTCCACTATACCGTAAAATAACATACTTACTTAGCTCAGATACTTAGATGGCCCGTCTTCACGTGGCGTGCGGGCCTCAGCACAAAAGTATCCATCGAGCCCTGTCTCTCGCTTCAGACATCCACGATGTTCTTGGTCGTCGTCGGTGGCTGCGTCCACGAGTTCCAGGTGCGAAAATCGTATTCAGATGATTTCTCAGCTGGTTCGTTCCACGAACACGTCTGTCCATCTCGTCGGTGGTCTTCCTCGAGGACGTTTGGCTTTACGAGTAATCCACTCAGATGTTCTTATCCATTTGTCGTCTGTTCTTCTCATGATGTGACCGGCCCATCGATGTTTCGCTTCCGCGACGTATTCCGCTGGGTCACGAAGACGGGATATTCTTTTCATATCCGTATTGCAAAGTCCGACTAGATGTTGCTTGCGTCGGGTCATCTTCAGAAGATGCGCTCGAGCGCTCTGTGGGTGATCCGTAAAGCTTTCGACGTGGCTACAATGTTGGCCCAAGTTTCAGCTGCGTAGCAGAGCGCCGGGAGAACGGTTGAATCGAACAGGTGGGCACGAAGCTCCGGGTACGTCAGTTGGTCGGTGGCTTCCTTCAGAGGCCCGAAGGCGGCCCAGACTGCTCTTCTTCTCCTGTTATCTTCCTTCAAGTCGTTCTCAATGTTTATCTAACGTTCGAGATACACGTAAGAAAAGTCTCCATAATCGGGGGGCCTTTCAATTCTATTTCTGCATCTTCGCAAAGGCGTTTCTCATGAACTGAGTCTTCTTCCGATTGATTCGCAATCCGATCTTCTTCCCTACTTCATTCAATTCCTTCAGCATCGTCTCTGCTTCAGTGATATTGCTCGACAAGAGAACGATGTCGTCCGCAAAACGAAGGTTCGACAAGAATTTCCCATCAACTCGTATGCCTCTCTCGTCCCAGTCCAGTAAATTCACCCACTGCAAGGCCGCGGTGAACAGCTTCAGCGAAATAGTGTTACCTTGTCGAACCCCTCTCCAACTGGAATGGTCAAGGGCGATTGCATCATTGCTGTACAGTCCTTTTAGCAGTCGGCTAGTGTCCTCACGTAAGCTGGTCCACTCCTTGATCGACTAGCGCTGACAGAATGGCATTCGTTTCGACGCTGTCGAAGGCTTTCTCGTAGCCGACGAAGGTTAGGAGGAGAGGCAGTCGGTCTTCCGGCAGACTTCTATGACCCTCGAAACCGTCTAAATGTGGTCCATGCAACTGATTACCTTGCGGAATCCAGTTTGTTCTTGGGGTTGAGCTTCATCCAGTGTCCTATATATACGTGCGAGGATGATCTTCGTGAAAAGCTTGTACAGCACACTCACCAGGCATATTGGACGGTAATATCGAAGATCCTCCCGTTCACCCTTCTTGAAAAGAAGGACGGTTCTTGACGCTCTCCACCGGTCGGGAATCCTCTCCTTCTGAAGGTGAGATGTTAGGTGCACGGATTTCGTGTAGACGTTGTCCTCCGGCTCGCAGAAATTCGACGGAAAGATGGTCTGGTCCTGGAGCCGTGGATGTCTTCATGGTCTGAATCGCCTTGCGCACTTTCAGCAGGTAGAATTCGTGGTGGTACTTCTCCAGTGAAAACAACGGGCATCGGTACGGGGGTTGATGAGCGGAAGAGATTGGTGTAGAAGTTCTTCGCGATAGATTCCATCTTATATCGGAAAGAAGTCGAAGTCCAGTCTTTGCTCAATAGTGCAGCCAGCGGTAATGATATTCGCAGGGGTCTCTTCGCACTTCTTAAGACTTCGTCTTTCTTCGGCCGTTCCAGTATCTTGGCTTGCCTGTACTTCCTGAGACCCTCTTGCAAAGCTGTTCTGCAACTGGCGTTGGCTATCAGTCGCTCGAGATGGGTTGCATTCGGATCCTGCCTCAGAAATGTTATTATTTCGAACAACTCCTTGGTGATCTTCGAGTTGCGTTCCAAGTTCTTCTCAGAAGTCACTGAGGCGCACTTTCGGCAGGCTGCAATCCTTTTAGAAGCCGGTCGTAATCGTACACTGGGTCCTCCTCGATGGGCCAGTAGCAACTTGATATGAGCTCTTCTAGCCTCTTACCGTCATAAACGACTTCCTTCCTTCTCGCGGCACCGTGACAGACTTTCTTTTCCAGCTTTCGACTGAGTCGTATCTTTGCTCGAGAGAGTCGGTGATCTCGGGGATGGAACTACTGATACATCGAGCAAGCTCCACCTTCGGTTGGTGAGAATGTGGTCCTCGTAAGTCGTTACGTTGGGCGATTCTCATGTCCACCGCCAATGTTCTTTCTTCATGAAGATGGACTTTTCCATGGAAAAGTTGTGCGGCGGAGAGAATCCCAACGAGGCAGTTGCCGTTTTCCTTCCGGAGCCCATATCCAAACTTCCCGATCCTATATTCCTCTTCTAGTGGCATCCCGATTTTCGCGTTGAAGTCGCCCACAACGAACTTGTAGAAGAAATTTTCGTTGAGTAGCAGTTAATGATGCTGATGGTCTTCTGACGTGAAGGTCGTAGTCGTAGGACATGGCCATTCGAGGTGACAGGATCTCATGCGAATCGACAAGATGGACGATAGATGGGTGGACGACAAAGCCAACGCCTCCAAAGGTTCGTGATGGAAACTTCTCACCACAAAGGATGAGGGTCCATCACTCATCTGTCGCACGTCCTTTTTCCTGGACTTCGTTTCCTGGAGAGCGATGACGTGCTACTTGATGTGCTCTGCAGCGTCGAGAAGAGCGTGGAGGTCGACGTTTGTGGAGACTGTCCTGGTTTTAGGCGAAGAGCATGAGTCAGTCTCCATGGCGTGTGATCCGGGCAGACGTCCCGTTTTTGTTCGATCCAAAAGGCGCCCTGACTACCCTGACATCGTTCATGTTCTTGCTACCACCCGGCGCCGTAAGCGGGATCCGATGTGCAGGGTTTGTTTCCCTTCTTTTTGCTTATCGAGTAATAAAATTTGTCCCTTACAAGAGCAGTCTTACTAGGCCTACTCTTGATTTCCACGGGCGGTCGCTGACCCCAGGCTTGGAGCGGGGAGCAAAACCGCCTAGCGACCAAAAAACCAGACGGCGGTGGTCTCGACCGGCTCTTAGCTAGGCATCCGGCCGAAACCGGAAATGTCGAACTCCTTCACATGTGAACGCATAACATAGACGTTTTTGTAAACACGTATGGCTGACTCTTTTTGAGCCGCAAATTCACACAAATGTGCGAACCAGCAACACGAAATGTTATGAAGCATCTGAAATACTCTCCAAGGTTTGGTAATGTGATGCCTTATCTGAACAACGGTTTTTTATCAAAAGTTACAATGGTGGCAAGTATTTCCCAGCTTTTGATTCGCCACTGTGTACCTCTTCCAGTTTTACTCTCATGTTTATTATTGTTGATCTAGCAAAATGATTTGGTTGAAGGTTTTTATTCGGGAACTGCGCTTCTTATTACTTCTAGGAGAAGTCTCAACGAAAAATATTATGTATAGTAAGTTTCAACCAAGTTTAGGGGGAAATTGGACTGGCGGGAGTCCGCTGCGTAACGATTCGTGCCGCTTTGCATTCTGCGTCTCTTCATTTTAATCTATCTTGCTGAGACAGGGGCGGTGCGGACGCGCTGCTCCACTTGCAACGTTTCGCCTACTCCGGGTTGAAAAAGACTATAGGTGACTATGTGAATAGGCTGCCCAGTCACGTGACAAATACAATCAAAAAACTTTTTTCCTTTGTAGAGTTGACCCATGCAAGCACAGCGAAAAAGGCGAATTGCTTCTCTACAAAAACGAGTCCGGATAGGCGCGCGCCATAATTCCCTTAATCAACTTGATCCGCTTCACCCCTTCGCCATTTTTTATGTGTCGATTTGACCAATAACGAAAGGGATGAAGTGGATCAAGTATGCGCTTTTCTTAGAGGCAGCGGCTCGGCAGAATGACAACTTTGAGATATTCATCATTTTCGGTTCCCCTGGATAAGCTAAGTCCAATACTGTACTTTGCAGCTTCAAAAGATATCGATCCCGCTTTTCCAGACGTGCAAAACGCTATTTGAGGGCAGACCGCGTATCTGCCCTCTAGAGCGCGATTGGCTCGTGAGTGGAGATACTGTACCCACCGTACCCGCGAGCCAATCGCGCTTTAGAGGGCGGATGCGCGGCCCTCTTTCAAATAGCGCTTTTTACGTCTGAAAAAGTTGGTTATTGATATCTTTTGAAGCTGCAAAGCACAGTCTTGGAATTAGCTCATAGAAGAACCGAGAATAATGAAAATCCCAACGTCGTCATTCTGCTGAGCCGCTGCCTTTAACGAGAAAGTGTCCTTATTTCAACGCCATTTCGACGAATGAATTTTCTCGCATGCACTGTGAGTACCTTAAATGTCTAGTCGTAACCGGTCGATCTTCTCAGAGTTTTTTAATGAAGAAGAAAATAGTAGCCACTTTTTGCAATCTTTGCATCATTACCTTAAAGGACAAAAGGAGCTCAATAAACAAGCAGATTTCGGAGTCATAAAAGACTCTGCTTATATAACAAAACGTTTTGTCCAATAAGTCTACAGCAAAGGGTCATGGATGCACATGAAGGTAAGCAGAAAAAAAATAGGAAATTGTAAAGGTTAGGATCTCTTTTTCTTTACAAATATGTCTAATCCTTACATGATAATACTTTGCATTTAATCATAAAAGCCCAAAAGCGTCTAATGGAGTTTTGTTAGGTTTGTAGCGATAACACGCATCAAGCATTCCTTTACCATCGCATTTCAAGCTATGACAGCTGCAATGGTTTCATTTTTGTACGTGGACGCCTTGTGTGGTATGCCTTTCAGCAAGAGTCTTAGTAAAAGATATCCTTATTACGTTTGTGTGATGCCTTGTTCACTCAATGCATTGAGCATCTTATTCAAGTGATCACTTCAAACCGTACTATTTCAGTAAATTGCGGCAATTTTCAAATGCGGGCTCTCTTTATTGTATTTGCCCTTCTTACTACTGCGTACTGCCTTTGCAAAGTCGGTGGTAAAGATCGCAGCGATAATGAAAAATGGGTAATGGAGAGCTTTTATTTGCACTTTATGATCATATCGCTTAAGGTCGAAGGCAGCTTTCTGAAGCAGTGCCTAAAGGTGGGAAATTATGGTGGCTGGAGGACAACAATTTTGGGTTGTATGGTGGACAGTAAACAGGTTTGTGAATGAATACGCAGGAAATGCGACTGGCAATAAGATACCAGTGCTCCGATAAAGCACACGAAAGAGCGGGATAGTGGCATGATACCCTCTGGGCAATGAGATTCACCTTCAGTATTACAATTTTCAAGAGCCAAACACAATGCAATTTCCCAACTAAAGCGCGTATTTCTTCTTTAAACCAGATGTTCAATGCCATTCCATACCTTAGTAAAGAGGAGAAAACAAATTTCAGAATCAAATCGTTTGAATAATCGCGTCCCTCAGTCGACTTTGAATAATGAACTTTTGATACTGTTCCCTTTTCTTTTTTAGGCCAATATTCTCAAACATTTCGGGCTTCTATTTCGGCTTTCATCTCTTTTAAAAAACCATTCAGATATACGCAAATTGTGGGGCTTCTCAATACAACAGCATGACATCTTTGTGTACTAAGTGAAAACACGGCTTTGCCCTGTAGTTCCGTCTTGAAATCTCAGTGAATTTGTACAGTAAAGCCATGTTGTTCAACAAATTTGAGTTTTTTGCTAAGAAACAGACACTTGCTAAGAAACAGACAACAACGAGCGATGACAGCAGAAGTCGAAGCACATAATATGACAGACGTCGCATCAGAGACGCGGAATTGCTGAAAGTCTTTGCGGGTCATGAGAAACTTTGCATCACACATATCTACTCCTTTTCTTTCATGCGCGATTTAAGATGTTCATCGGGAGACGGGCCAATCTTCGCTGTTTTCTTAAAATTCAAGAGCTGACTCCAAAATACAGGTGTTTAAAAGCAAGTACACAATTTTCATCGTTAATGGGACGCTTTCCAGTAAGTCTTTTCTTTAGCTTCAAGTACCATTTGAAGAAAAAGCTTGAACTTGATTTACATTGCGGAGCAAATCACCCTCTTCATTATTGTAGGATTACAGTAGGAATTTTGAGGAAGGTTTTAAGCCATCGGCGGCTAGATATTGTTCTAAAATAAATTCTTAACGAGCCGAATACTCTATCATTAGGCTAAACTGAGTAACTGTTAAGCAATATGAAATTCGCACTTTGCGCAAGGTTTTTTTTATTTGTTATGCCAAGTAAATGCAATGACATTTTTTTCTGCGTTCTTCTTTTGAAAATGTGTTGTGGTCATTTGAAACCGCTAAAACTCAAGTTGTCTGATGAAGTCAGCATATTTGCACTGCATCACTTTTCAGATTTTCTGGAACTTTTTGTTCAAACTGCCTGCCTATTCAACAATGACGCTCAATATTAATATTCCTGCCGTAATCCTACAGGAATAAACGGTGATGGGTGATGCGTTCTATACTGCAAATCTAAGATGAAGTCTCCTACTGAATGGTACTTGAATCTAAGGAAAAGACTCTTTGCAGAGAGAGTTGTCAACGATCAAAAAGTGCGCGCTTATCTTTGGGAGATCCGGTATATATTAGGTCATTCGGAAAGTTTTTTCGTTTTGGCACCTTCAAATTCAAACAAACACAATTTTTTCCAGATTCAACCTTTTTCCATCAAATAAATTGCATTGTGTTCAGCAAATTTCTGGTAACACTCCTGTAGTCCTCTTGTACTTTTTTCTTGCGAAATAATCTCAGAAGAATTGATAAAGCCTAAAAAGGCGTTTTTGACTAGCAAATCTTTATTAGGTCTTATTAGCAAGAAATTGGGCACCAAGAAATCAGAAAATTTGGTGATTATTAAAGGAAGGTCTAAGAAATTCGAAAAATAAACAGGAATCTCGGTTCGCCTTTAACCCCTTTTGTGAGCGCCATCTTTCTTACATGTGGTTTGGCGACGTCATGGGCGAGGATGGCATCTTTTATAGCTCATACGTACAAGTCTGCTCAGTTTTGAAATTTCAACAAACGGTTTTCAGAGCGATATCACACTACTTTACTCTTACAGTACAATCGCATCTTAGCAACTTTATAGCGTACAAGACCAGCAGAATTACATAATTTTGAGTACATCAACCTTTTGGAATGGACTGTTCTGACCATGCTTTCGATGCTTATTCCAAATAATTTACCACAATGCCGCTTCTTGTAGCCGCACTTAGCCAATTTTTTGCTGTAATTAATAACCCAGGCCAAAAAAGGATTCTCCATCAAATTAAGAGCAGCAAAAGCAGAGTCAACGCGCCCTCAATCTGCGAATGCGACAATTTGTGAGGTACATGTCAGTGACATTTTTCGGTATTGCAGCTTTAGCGAAGGTGCCTTCTAATGGGGCTATATGACACTTCAAGGCCTGCTGATGACTTTACGCTGCTATGGTTGCGATTTGCTTCAAAGGACCCTCTGATGCTCGTTTATATGGCAGGAACACCTTCCAAGACACTGCAAAATATTAGCTTTCACTCCTCTAGATCTGGACTTTTCGAAGTAAACTTGAACCTACCTCAAGAAAGACGTGCTCTTGGTAAATGCATTGCGCACAATGATGGTTTCCTTAACGGTCTCAAACTCAAGTTGAAGCTTAGAGAATACAATTAGTCGAAAATCGCGTTCTCGTATGTCGAATTTAGAGCCGCGTAAACTTCTCTACAAAGCGTTTTTTGTAACTTCGGTGGGATCTTCAAAAACTAGAAAACTTCCTCTACAGATCCATATATAGCAACCCCTATCAGCCATCTAGCAACTTCTTAAAATATGGTACCAATATCAAAGGCGCAAAAAGCGAAAAAACTTTCCGAATGACCTAATATCAGAAACATGATAGACCTCATTTTTTGATTTTTACGAATCTTTTTCACTTACATATTTGTTGTTGACAATAAGTGACTCAATCCCCTTTGATGCAATTTTTTGAACTTTTTTTCTGCAACTTATTCTTCTTGAGATTTTAATATTGAGCAGATATTATATTACAGATCGCCATTGGTACCAATGTAACAATTGGAAAAACCACTTATGTCTGTGAAGATGTGGGAAATGGAAATGTCCGGATGCGTTACTTCTGGCACTGGTAGAACAGCAGTTTGACATCATTTCCCTTTATTCAGTTGAAAGAAATGGTATTTTCATGGCTACTGCACCAACCTATCCTCGTCTAGCATTAGCAATAAATGTTGTAATGTTATTCTACACTAGTTCGTGGTAGGCTAAAGGACCTTCCGACCTTCTTCCTTCAAAGGGCTGAAACTGTGCTGAACTTTACAGTTTATGAAGAAAAGGACGTTAGGCATGCATTTGCGCACACTTCCCTTTTGACGGCTTTCGTGCTCGTTGCCGCCGCTTGCGCATTTCAATTACATAAGGCCGCGTTCGTTTGGAAATTCCAGCTCAGTTTCTCCACAGCGCTGAAATGCACGTTGAGCTGGCTGCAAGCGATGCAGGTGGATGTTTGACCGTTCCAGCTTTTTTTATAGTGGGTCTTGTACGTTTGCGTCTTATTTTTGCACGTGCCTTTCTCTCCCAATTAAAAACGTTCAAACTTGCAGCGGGATTCGATTATAAAAGCTATTTCGTTTTTTTGTCACGTCAAAACAATCTCAAGCTCGGGGCGCTTATAGTATAGTAGTACATTACCTCAATGGTACATTGCTCCAAACGTGTTTCTCCACCAAATGGGGGAACCATAATCATTAACGAACGAAAAAGCATTTTTGGAAAGAATTGGACTGGAACGTCTTAAAATCCAATTCAGTTAAAACACAAGAAGAAATTCGCGTTCTCTGCTATCGTGATGTTTGTATCGGTCCTGCTTCAGGATAGATGGCTATATCGAAAAAGTACTGACTTTCTGGAATACAAAAAACTGTCACACAAATTTTTTTTTGGAGAGAAAACGCGCAAAAATATTTTCCTCAACACAAAAGGGCGTACATTCTCTCACCTTGCTCGAGTTTGAGACTTTTTCGTCACAAGTGGAAGCGAAGTACAGAGATTGAACAAAAACGAGCAGATTTTACGATGAAAATCGATTAAAAGCAATTAATACTGTCCACCGTTTACGAGCGCACGCGAGCGGCTGCAGCGCACGCCGCACGCTTCCGGCACAATTTGAGCGCTGTAGTACAACTATGTGAAATCGTGGCAAAGCATGGCGTACATAATTCTCTGTCAAATGCTCGTTATCACACTGCACGAGTACAGCGATTATGCGAAGGTTTTGGTAAAGGCCTGGTGCAGAGCTAATTTATTCATTAATTTCTTTTAAAGAAGTGAAAGGTAACTAAAAATGTCACTTTATTTACCGTTATCCAACCCTGAAGTAAATTTTGAGCGATTTCTCATAAAGTCGTTTTGATTGAGCCACGTGTGACCGCTAATCTACTGCAAAATTTAGAACAAAACTAAGTTTATTTATTTATTTATTTATTTATTTATGCATCAGCGATGCGCCCAACGAACGTAATAGTTCAACAAAGTTATGACTAAACAAAACTGGACAAACGATAAGCGCTGGTTTTTCGAGTAATCAAACTGTATTGCAAAAATAAAATTTATTAGCCCACTGAATAGGTACATAGATGTAAGTATAAACGAAGGAAGGATGAACGGTCATGCTGCAACCATGGAGTGAATAACCTTGAGTGGGTGGAGGACTATATGTCGCCGAATTTGGAAGAGTCCCGCGCGGATTCCCTGCGGGAAGCATGTCCGCGCATGTACAAGGATCCGTATTTGTCGCAAATGACCGCGGGGACCGCCCTTTTTCGGCGACATATAGTCCTCTACCCACCTTGAGTTATCACTCTCAAGCGAACAAAAGAGAAAGACACCAGAGCGAACGCTCTTAATTCCAAGCGCGTCCCGGCGGAAATAAATACCTCTTTGAGCTTTCTCTTGCATTGTCTTACATCGCTCCCGTGAAGAAAGAAGGCAGCAGACAGTGAACGCACTGGTATAGATCCATAAGTAAGGCTGTAGGACCCTATGAGTGGGGCTCACAATCCAATTTGAAGAAAAAACAATCAGGTTTGATTTTCAGAGAAACCAGCTCTTTTACACTAAACATGAAACATTTGAACTGAAGTAAAGTGGACTATCAATAAGAAAATTTAACTGTTCTCAGAGTATTTCACGTGTAATAAATCAGTGCATTAATTCCAGGTTTGAAAGCAGCTACAGTTTCAGCTTGTAGCGTAGTACACGGTAATGCACAAAGCCATCGTGGAATTCTATAAAAGAAACTGTTGAATACTAATAGAAATGCTTTATTTGAATAAGTGAGTAGTAAATGAACCCACCATTTCTAATAAACGGTCTGAAAATCCAACATTTATTAGCTTTGAGTCTAAGCTCTTTACGGATACTTTGAAAGGCAAAGACAAGATCCAGATATATACGTTTATACTCTAGACTGTTCATTGCCAAGGACTTGGGCCTAATCGTAATTGGGCATTTCAACAAAATTGGGTTTTTGTTGGCATCTCATATGTAGTATTCGAGTGAAGGGCTGTTGAATTTTTAAATATTTTTAAAAATTATTAGCCTCGTAAAAATTTTTTTCGGGGGGTGGCTGGCGCCACGCCCTCTTTTTCCAGATTTTGGAGTTCGGGACCCGCAAAATTTTGAGAAGGACCCCAAAAATTTCTTCGGAATGTTTTTCTTTGCCCCCCCCCCCTCCAACGGAAATCCTCGGACCGCCACTGGTTGTTGTACAAGATTTGATTGTTTCAGGCAAATTTCTTGGTGGATATTTATTGAAATCAAAAAAAAAGTTGAAAAAAGTTTGAGATAAACCGTATTCTTCAGAGGTCGTCCTGCATCAACCGTGCGGCAAGTCCGCATATTGTGGGTCTTTTTCAAGTAAGAAGCAAGAAATAACATTTTCTTACAAAAGCTGTTTATCTCTTTTTGGCACTTACGCTAGCTCGTTCTCACTGTGTAATCGCTTTCAGCAAACTCACTTTGCCTGTATTAAGACTCTCCGTTGACTTCACAAAAAAATCAACAATTGAAAATGTAATATATAGGTTTCCAAATGAACTAACTTTTTGATAATCCGCATTCACACTTATTATCTTGCATAATCCAAGCTTTCAGCTATATCAAGAATATATCGATGATATTGATAAAGGCTATGATATTTGTTATGTTTGTATCACAACTATTCGTCATCAGCAACTCAACTCATATCTTTGCTGATTCACAGCCCTTAACTCAAAGTTTGCTTAAAAACTAATAGATAGATATCAATAGAGGAAGAAAAGTAGCCTGAGATCGTCTGGCCCATTATTACATATATACGAAGGTTGGTCTAAACCCTTTCATTAATGAATGCGACGTTTATAGCATACTTTTGAATAGAGTAATCCTCCTTCAAAACATGGTACAAATTCGGATCGCATATGGTCATGGTCCGTGTAGCTTTACTCTAATGGTAAGTAACAATAGCGAAATGAAGGATACCAGTGGCTATGGAGGGAGGGGGGGGGGGAGGGTTGCAAAATATTTGTAAGTTACGTATATGACTAAAAATGTAAGCGACTATTCATATAATAAATAAAAATGCAATTGTGGTTACCACCACGCCCCTTTTCTTTAAAATTCGGGGTTATGGATCCGCAAAAATTTCCGGAAGTTTATCGAAAATAAAAGAGGACGTGGCTGAAGTCAGGCTTACCTTCATCAGAAAAAATTTTTTTGTCCCCCCCCTCTCACCAAAGGGAACCTGAGTACGCCACTGTTGATTACACAATGTCGAAAATGTTTCTAGTGTTTAGCTGCTGATAATTTCTCTTTCTCCATTGCCTTTCGCTGGGTTTAAGTCATTATTCTGTGAGGCTGGTTTTGATTTAGATTTACAGTTTAGAACAAATCACTCATCGCTATTCTCTATATTGTTCGTGTCACCAATCTTGGTCATAGGGTCAAGAAGACACGCGTGAGTATAAATGAAGTTTCTAGCTCTGATTTCACAATGTCGATGAACTCCCATAAAAACTTTCAGTCTTATCGCCCAACCAAAAAATCGTCCGCAAAATAAAACTAAGAAAATTCAAACCGATCCTGGAGAAGCGGAAAAGATTGTGCCCACCAAGTTGTTTACATGATTCTGCGAAGTATAAGGTACAAGTTGGGAAAAAGAAGCATTAATCGAGAAACTTGGTAATTGATTGTTAGATGCAAGAGTCATAAAGGACAAAAGGGGACGTACAAGTAATGGCGTTATACGAAAGACGATTATCAGACGTATCAGCAAGCAAAACACGTTGCGAAGGCTTCCGTAAAAAAGACATAGCAGCTGTACAGGAAAGAGCTTTATAAGGTTTGAAGTCTCAGAGCGTGAAATATACTTGACAGCAAGAAGGAGTTTAGTCAGCAAAAGATGGGGAGTACTTCCTCCATATCAAATATAAAACCGAAGGCACAAAAGAACGGAGAACTTTATCTACTTCAAAGTGATACCACCACAAGCTGCAATGTCAACTATTTCTCTAAAAACAAAAAGAGTTACAGCTATTTCTTCTTGTGTTTGAAAATCATTCCGACCTTTTTTCCTACGAGTTACAGAGAGAGCCCGGAAAAGAAGTTTTTCATCTGGAAATAATGAAGAGAAGTTAAGGATAGTATTGTAATTTTTTCAATGAAAGACGTTTGAGCCCAAAAATTGGTTTTTTGGTCATCTTCATCTTTGTACCTTTTAGATGTGCTAATCAAAGCGAATTGAAGCTCCCAAAATGGTCACTTTTCAAACTGAAATCGCTAAAATAGGCGTTTAGCCAAATCTTCCAAGAACATTCTGCTAGCTGGCTAGTTGAGACAGAGATATCCGTCCAAGGACAATTGGCTATCTATTAGTCAAGCGCTCTCGGAGAACAAAAAACCGCTCCTTTTTGGAACTTTTCGCGTCTCTGTAGTATCGTAGAAGCTCCAAACTCACATTGAGTTCAGTATCCTTGAAGGGTTCATTGAATAAAAGAAATAAATTCTGGAATGTGCCGAGCTGCCTTCGAGCCCAGACAAGATAATCCTGTTTACCATACTTGACGAATAAGTGAGAATATTTTTGAACGCAACTACCTTTGCACCGCGTAAGTCTAGTCGCTCTGCTGCATTATTAACTTAGCTGATTGGTCACGTATTTGTTCCAAACTTCTTTCAAGAT